AGCTCTTCAGCTCAAGGCTAGTGCTCTACCACTTGAGCCACAGTGCCACTTCCGGCTTTTTTTCTTTTTGCTTATGTGGTGCTGAGGAATCGAACCCAAGGCCTCAGGCATGCAAGGCAAGCGCTCTACCACTGAGCCACCTTCCCAGCCCACCATTCTAATTTCTATTCAGAAAAAAGACAGGTTGTAAATCAGCAAAATATTTTTATTCTACTGATAAATAAAATTCTCTTTTGCAAAATGTTACATCTTTGAAGTTAAAGCCTCTTATCAAAAAACAAATGGAGACCTGGTACCAGTGGCTCACACCTCAGGAGGCTGAGATCTGAGGATCACAGTTCAAATCCAGCCTGGGTAAGAAGTCTATGAGACTCCTATCTCCAATAAACCACCAGAAAATCAGAAGTGGTGCTGTGGATCAAGTGGTAGAATGTGAGCCTTGAGCTGAAGAGCTGAGGGACAGTGCCCAGGCCCAGAGTTCAAGCCCCAGACTTGGGGGGAAGGGGGGTAGGCGTGGGAGGTGTCGCTGGTGGCTCATGCCAGTAATCCTTGATGTGCAGGAGGTTAAGATCTGAGGTTGAGGTTCAAAGCCATGGCAGAAAAGTACAGGAGTCTCTTATCTCTAATTAAGAACCCAAGAATGAATGAATGAATTGAATGAATGAATGAATAAATACATGCCAGAAGTAAGAGCTGTGGCTCAAGTGGCACAGTAGTCCTGAGCAAAAAAAGGGTCAGGCACAGTACCCAATCCTGACTCCCAGACCAGCACCAAAATAAATAAAGGAGAAATATGGAAGATGAGTATTACTCGTTTCTATTTTGTCAGATGTCTGTAAGATTCACTAAACACTCTCATGCTCTATAAAATAAAGACCCAAATAAAATAAAAACCCAAAGTTTGCTAATAATACCCATTGACATATCTTTACATATTTTTTTCCGAGTGCTCTGAAGTTATGCCAGTTTTTCACATATATGAATAAATATCATGAATAATATGCTAGGTCAAAATGAACTCTCTTAACTAGTGGAAGGTAAAAATTATTCTGTACTTCTTTAATAATGTATTAACAAAGGGCTGGGATGTGGCTCAATTGGTAGAGTACCTGCCAATAAGCACAAGATCCTGAGTTCAAAACCCAAGCACCACCACCAACAAAAAGAATTAACAAAGTAATTTAGTACAATATCAATTATACTACAGGCCACATCATAAAAATTTCAAATAAATGCCCAAGCTAAACACAAGTTGCTGCTAGGATTAAGTGAAACAGTACATTAAAGTGCTATGAAGATAACAAGTACGAATTATGACTGTTTCCCTTCCTGCTGAAAGTATTTATCATTAAATCCTAAACTTGTTTCCCACCAACACTCCTTTGTGTCTTCTCTCCTAGGAACTTGTCACTATAAACACTCCACTTTCCTTCCAAACATTATTTTGCCTATTTCTTCAGTCAATTCTTTCATCTTTTACTTTGTTATCAAGCCATGAATTTACTTCGCTTAAATACAAACTTCAACCAAAATAGCAAAGCAAGCAATAAAAACATGAATTCCACAGTGCATTCAAAACACTTACTGAAAAAAAAATTGTTGCAAATCTTGTTCTTCTGTACAAAAATAATCTTTAAGCTCAAAGATCAACTCAATTTTATCCTGTGTAGGTTCTTTGTAGTATACAAGCATGTCAAAGTATATAAGCATGCCTCAGAATGCAAAGTAGCATCAGTCTTGCCAGCTGTAGTGTGTGAGACACTTACCTCTAAAATCTTATCAAGGAAGGTTATAGCAGCAGTATAATCTGCATTCTCGAAAGCATCAAGTGCTTGTGAGCGCAAACGTTGCATTTCATCAGATTTCATAAGCTGAGACTGAGCTTCCTTTTCTTCATTTTCAGTTGGATTGGATTTGAGCTATATACATAGAACAGAAGCAGCAGTTTATCTCTTGCTATGCACAAACCTCTAACCAAATACTGAACAACTGCCCAGGTACAGAGGACCCCTTGGCCAGTTTCCTAACCCCATAAGCTGTGAGATAATAGAAAGGTGTGGCTGTTAGCAGCTAATCTGATAACTAAGATGACTAAGGCAGTAACATAAGGTGAAAGTTTCACCCTTTTTCAGTGGCCAACTTACAAATATTTACACAGATTATAGTGTGTTTTTAAAAATTAACTTATCCAAATCCTGAATTAATCACTTAGGTATAAGTCATATGCATTCTCTTGGACAACAAAGTAAAGATAATAGTACTTACACCCTGCAGAGTAGTCCTGGAGAGATTAAAAGAGTATTCTACGTAAAACACAGAAGAAGTACTCCCAAAGTATTAATGGAATTTCTGACTACCTGCTAGGGAGGGTTTTTTTGTTGTTTGAGAGGTTCATTCTCTTAGTATTGAACTCTACCCCTATTCCTTTTTCCAATCTAACCATAATACATAAATTTGCAGTAAGGACAGAGTGTAAAAGATATAATATATATTTTCAGAAGATGCTCAGTTTATCTCCCTTGGCACTATATAACAGCCAACTTATACTGGACTTAAAAATGGTCAAGCAGCCAGATGCCAGTAGCTTATGCCTGTAATCCTAGCTACTCAAGAGGCTAAGATCTGAGGATCATGGTTCAAAACCATCCCAGGCAGGAAAGACTTAAGACTCTAATGTCCAATAAATTATTCAGAAAAAGCTAGGAGTGGTGCTGTGGCTCAAGTGGTAGAATGCTAGCCTTGAGCAAAAAAAGCTCAGAGACAGTACCTAGGCCCAGTATTTAAGCCCCTGGACTGGCAAAAAAAAAAAAGGAGGGGGACACAAAGGACTGGAAAGGACATTTATATAAAAATGGCAAACAAGTTCAGGTAACAGTGCTCAAACTCAATCATCGGGAAAATGCAAATGAACACAATGAGATGCTATCCTACACTTGTTAGGAAAACTACTGCTATCATTGGAACCTAGAATGTCTCCAAAAGGCCCATTTGTTCAAGGCCATTTAGCTTAATCCTCAGTTTGGTGTTACTGAAATGCACTGGAAACATTTAAGAGGTAAGGCCTCACAGGAGATGTTAGGTCTCTGGAGATGGTCCTTGAAGGTGACTGTAAGAGGGGAGGGGAGAAGGGAAGGAAGGGAAGAGGGGAGAAACAAACAGGAGAACAAATGCTGCCCATGGTAGAGAAAAAAGAACACTGGTGGTAGGTATGTAAATTGCTATCATATTTCTGAAGAGTATGCAGTTTTTTATAATTTAAATATAGAACTACCATATGACGTAGTAATCCCTTTCCTAGGTACACATACTATGGAAATGAAATCATCTCCTCATAAAACTATCTGCACTATTATAGTTATTACAGCACTACTATTCATAATAGAGCGAAGGTATAGAGACAACCTGGGTGTCTGCTATAGTCTAGATTGGGAATGTCCCTCAAAGCTGGGGGACATAATTTAAGTTATTTTGGATGCTTCCAGCTGACACATATCTAATCACTAACTATCATGGAAGTGACTGAGTATTGTACTAAAGATATATTGTACTTGAATTTACATTAACTAAAATCAAAATGAAGATGCTTTTCCACTGATTAGTGGGAACATACATTAGTACAGCCAATATGAAAAACCAGCATGCAGGTTCCTCAAAGAACCTTTTTAGTGATACATAATCTATAACATTCTTCCAACAAATCCAAAACACTTTACACTATGTAAGGTAGCCTTAATAGAGGAGACTATAAAACTCAACTCAAATCAAATGAAGAGTCTCTCATGCCTCTAGAGGACATGAAGAATAGCTCAGCTGACATCTCTATTATCATGCAGGACAGAGAAGAATAACTAAACTTAAATCAGGATCACACAGTGACCAGGTACACTTCATCTGCCAACCATTCATGTGATTCTTTGACATCAGTCACCAAATATTAATTCAGAAAGTGTGATTTTTTTTTTTTTTGCCAGTTGTGGGGGCTGAACTCTGGGCCTGGGCACTGTCCCTCAGCTCTTCAGCTCAAGGCTAATGCCCTACCACTTGAGCCACAGCACTATTTCTGGCTTTTTTCTGCTTATGTGGTGCTGAGGAATCGAACCCAGGCCCTCATGCATGCAAGGCAAGCACTCTACCACTGAGCCAACTTCCCAGCCCCAGAAAGTGTGATTCTTATATCCTTAAATTTTCCATTTGACTAGAAAATACAATTAATGTTTTGATACCAAGGCAAAAATAAATCCAATATGTTCCCTCAAAATATACCACTTTCATAGAACCACATAAAAATTAAGCTTAACTTACCACTTTTTTAAAATCATCTTCTGCTTCATCAAGTTTTCCTTGTTTGAGTAATAAATGACCTCTCTGTAATCTTGCCTAGAAAAAAAAGGAGGGGGAAGGTTGAGCTGAGATTGCATTTCTAAATTTTCTGCAAACACAAATTTATTTTTCCATGGCTCAGTTTGACTTGGTATGGTATAAATAACTTCTGGAATCAATGAATGTATATATTTTTTGTTGAAGTATGCTTCCATAGAAATATATTGAAAAATGTATACATTGAAAAAAGTATAACCACAACAGAATATTAAATACCTAATAGGCACAGTCATTTTATAAATGGTTGCTAGAGACTAGGGTAAAAATGGGAAGTGACTGGTAATACAGACTTTGGGTCTGTTTCTTTGGAGTGGTTTGAACACGGGGGCCTCACACTTACTACCCATGTATTCAACTACTTGAGCTACTCTACCTGTCTCCTTTCCTGGTGATTACATTCAAGATAGGGTCTAGCTCTATGCCAAGCCAGCTTGAACTGTGATTTTATTTACATTTCCCCTTGTTGTTGGGACAATAGGTGAATGCCACTGTACCCAATCACTGATCAAAATGAGTCTGAAAATCGTTATGCCTGGGCTAGACTTACACCACAATCCCCAGCTCTCCACCTCCCAAGTAGCTAGGATTACAGGCTTGAGTCACTGTGCTCAGCTCCAAGGTTTGTTTTGAGAGGGATAAAAATGTCCTGGAACAAGACAGTGGCAATGATCATACAACATAGTACATATACAAATAGTCACTAAGTACTTGAAAATTTTGGATCTGATAGTATGTCAATTATATCTTAATTTTTAAAACATTTTTTACATCATGGTAACTTTTTCCACTAAAATTAACTTATTACTTGAAACTTTACTTATCAAACCTCCAGAATAGGTTAATTTTTTTAAACCTCAATGTAAACATTTACTCTAATCAGAATAAAACCTCTATACCCGTTTCTCTGATATCCCTTTTCCAATCTTCATAATACTGTCTCTTCTGAGAATGCCATCACTCTAGCAAACATCTTCCAGAAAATAGAAACCAGAGATATTCAAAACTTAAACTTATCTATTATTTTTACAGCACATAAAAATTCCCTAATCTGCTGTTAAATGAATATATGAAAGCAAACTTGCAGCCATTCCAACAAACTTATAGCTAATTATAGTCTATGAAAATTAACTACTTCATTTTTGTGAAAGGTTGTGCTTTATTATATAAAGTAATAGATTGAATAAGAACTTGATATTGGGAATTCCATATAAAAATAATACATTTCAGGGCTGGGAAGGTGGCTCAGTGGTAGAGTGCTTGCCTTGCATGCATGAGACCCTGGGTTCCATTTCTCAACACCACATAGCAGATAAAAAAAAGCCAGAAGTGGCACTGTGGCTCAAGTGGTAGAGCGCTAGCCTTGAGCTGAAGAGCTGAGGGACAGCATCCAGGCCCAGAGTTCAGGCCC